AAATTTAGTGTCTACATGTTTTTTTCCAGCTGCGTAACATTTCTAAACTTCGGTCTATGATGTCTGCCTCAGATCTGGAGGTGGTCATACATGCTTTCGTTTCTAGCCGCCTTGATTATTGTAACAGCTTGTTTATGTGTTTGAACCAAAAGCAGCTACATCGTCTCCAACTTGTTCAGAATTCTGCAGCTAGACTTTTAACTCGAACTTCTAAATCTAGTCGCATTACTCCAATCCTTTCAGAACTTCATTGGCTGCCTGTTTATTTTAGGATTCGCTTTAAAATCCTGGTTCCTACATTTAGAGCCTTAAGAGGCCAGGCACCTGCCATTGTTAGGGACATGCTCTCCACGTACGATCCAGCGCTCTCAGGATCAAAATCTATCAGCCGTTCCTTGAACATGCTATAGGACCTGTGGCAACCGGGCTGTTTTGTTTGCAGCCCCTAGCCTCTGGAATGCCCTGCCCTTTGAGTTATGTTCCATCAATGATGTCGAATTATTCAAAAAGGGCTTAAAAACCTTTTTAAAACAAGCTTTTAGCCAGATGTTTTGGTTAACTTAAAGTTGTTGAACCCAGTGCCTGTTGTGGTAGCTGAGTTTTCTCTTGCCTTGGTCCAAGTTTGATTTACATTTTTCTGTAAATGTAATATGTAAATGTAAATGGGTTGGTATTTTATTTTTACTGTTGTCTTTTTTTTTCATTTGGCTCAATTTGTTGCTGATACAACTTTTTGGGTTGAAATACTGGACGGCTCCATTTTTTATTGCATTGTTTTGTGTATTTTTGTATTGTACAGCACTTTGTGAAGTTATTTCTATGAAAAGTGCTTTATAAATAACATTTTACTTACTTACTTACTTTTCCATCCTGTTGTCTATATCAGGGGTTCTTAACCTTTTTGACCTCGGGGCCCAATTTGTTGAACACAAAGTGACACGAGGCCCAGTCAGACATTACCAATGTATGGATCAAAATGATAATTATTCTAAATTTTGGTTTAATTTGTGTTGTATTTGCATTATAACTAAATTAAATACACTTACAGTTTAAAAGTAAA